CCCCAAAACCCCAAAACCCCAAAACCCCAAAACCCCTTAGTGAAGGAATAGAAAAATCTAGGAAGTCAGAGTAATCTAAATTAATAATTTGTCATAGTCATAATAAATTATTAAATTCAATATGGGAGGATCATTTTCAACAACAGATTACAGAGACCAGATCGTCAAATTCTAAAAGAATTACCTGGGAATGGATGATACCAACGATCTCTAGAATTTCTTGTTGCAGTCAGAAGACTTTTACAATATGTTCACAACCTGCTAGTTGGAAGACTTCAGAAAGGTGAAAGAATCGAAACCCGACAACATTATATATCTTATGTCTTTTGTAAATTTCGTATGCCTGACTTTCTGATTAGGCAATAAAAACAATGCACGATTTAGCTACCTAGCAAAAAATAATAAGTGATGATAATTAGAGAAAGCAGTTAAAGGGTGCAATTCATGTATTGATAAGAACTTTCCCTCTGCTATTTGAGGATAAGGAGATCATGATGAGATGCATGTGGAGAGAATAAGCATTATTCGGAAATTAGGTTAATGCTCTCAAAATGATGGACTCAATTTCAATACTTTTATTCAAACCAGGTTTTACAGTCTAGGAAGTTCCAGATGGACTTGAATTACAATACTCAGGTAATATTAAATGATATCATCATTTCTTGTCTTAGGCATTGATGAATAGCTTGTATGGAAATCAGGAATAAGCATTCCTGAGGCCCCAAATCACTACTATAACTCATATAACCCAATCAGAATTGATCTTATGCGACTTATGATTATTATTCTATCTCAGCCTTTGTATTATGGGCCAGATGAATATCTATTGGTCTTGAATCCATTTAGCACATATTTTACCAATAGAAGAGCAAAGAATACTAAGAATTTATTCGTTTCATTGGTAAACACAGTTCTATCCTACGATTGCCAAGGCTATGTAAGTTTTATTCTATTGCTAATTAGTTTATCAGGGTATTCCATATTTCAGTGCTATTGATCAAGGTGGCGATTAAGAGTAAATGACATCGATTGCTTTGCATCTATTGCTGATATTGATTGAGTATAAGCCACCTTCTCTAGATAATTTAAAGTATTTGATCAATGGGGGACACACATCTCTCACGAGAATTAAAGATTTCTTTTATCATGGATCAAAGTATAATTAATGCTTATTAATCTATATTAGTGAACCTAACGATGTTTAAGTAATTGAAGACTTGACTATAAATGAACATTACAGATTAATGAGAGTCATTCATGGTAGAATTAATTTAGATCCCCTTTACACTGGACTTAGTTAGTTTTTCCAAAACATTGTTGATTCTCAACTGACCTACTTGCCAAACTCAGTAAACATGATACCCTTTAATCAAGAAGTATGCATCTTACTCTGGAGATTCATGACTATTAACTAGGTATTGCTTTTTTCTCTATATTAAACTTCATTTTAGCATGTATTTGAAGATTTCACAATGAGAGAAGATTTCCATTAAAAGATACTGCTCGGAGTTCTCATTTTACTTGATTAAAGCAAAAAGAACCCTACCAAGTCAAATCTTATGTACTTGACTATCTTCATGCTTTTGACTATCTCATCAAGCAGAGAGCTTTCAATGAATTTGAATCACCCTTATAATCTTGGAATTAAGCTTGATGTCCCTGAGTTCCAAGGCACATATGCTGATCTCGTTTTCCTTTCCGTTTATAAGCTGATTCATAATGGTCCTAGACTTTTAAAGCCAATTTACAAATCAATAATAGCTATTCTCTCTAATGTTGCTCCATATACTAAGAAATTATGCAGAGAGGCTGCTGATGGCCTGATGTATCTCGTTTAGGTGTTCTCAAAGAAAGAATTTTTGCTTGAGAAGGAAGATAACTGCAAGAGTTTGACTTCATTATTCGAAGCAATAAACTATCTTGTAGCTTACCATGATGAAACTAACTAGTACCTATAAATTCAGTTGATGAAATATCAGACAATGTTTGACTACTTTGATGCTACAGATTTCGAGCTGAAACTCACTTAGACTTCTCATTAGATCCAGCCATAATAAAGATAAAATTAATCTCCCTAAAAAGAGTTAGTAGCAGTGACTAACACTCATTAAGAGGAGACTAAGGATGGTTTATTATAGAATGTTTAAGAAGAGTCTAAGGTTGAAGAAGAGATTCAATAGAAACAAGCAGATCCTATCCATCATGAATCACCTTATTAAAACAATGAGAATAAAAATGACAATGAAGTAATAATAGATAAAAAGAATCATCAAAACGAGGAGGAAAAAGTATCAATCAGTGAAGTTATTGTCGAGGAGCAATAACAGCATAGATCTCCAGTTTAAACATCACATCATTAACAGTAGTAGGATGATGATGAGGATGATGATGGCTGGAAAAAATAAGAGGAATCCCCAAAGAATTCATAATCAACTGTAGACACTCAATAGCAGTAACCTGAACAGACAAATGATATCTAATAAGAAAGTGGATTTAAAGCTCTATAAAATATTAGCGATACTAAGATTGAAAGATAAAACTAAGATGTTCAGAGCAGACAAGGATTGGCGGCAAATGAGGAACAAAAAGGTGATAATTTAGCTGCAGAAGCACTACTCAATTAAAGAATGGTTGATGCACAGTGGCCATCACCTGAGTGGTTCAAGAAATGGAAAGAAACTCTTATCCTTGCCAACATCAAAGCATGCATCTCTCACACTTATAATAAAGCTATGTCCTTCAGGAACTAACTGATCGAAGAGGATGGAAGCTACGCTTCAAACTAAATTGTCAATATTGACGAAGATTAGGTAAGCAATTAATAAGATTATAATTATTCTATAGCTAGCAACCTATTTGCAGAGATTTTCGCTGAAAGGACTGCTTCCCACCATGCCTAAAATTTTGGTGACGACTTACAGAGGCAATGACTCAATCGACACTTGGTTGATAGCATATCTATGGGGACTAATATTCGTTCAAGCTCAAGAGTTCTCCTTATTCGACCACAGAAAGTTCAGACTATTTTCAATAAATACCTACCAGGGAAACAACTCGTGAGTGCTAATCGATGATCGTAATTAGAAAAATAAGGAACGGGCCTATTTCACTCTTTGTTAGTTTTAAGTTTCTTGTAATATTTTTAAGTAATTATGATATCTTATATAATTAACAGTCATCTTTATCATGTTTCTCCGTTAATGAACAACGCTTCACACCCCTTTGTAGGTTTGCATTTTTGTATTTACATATCCTCTCGTCAGGGCTAGTCCCATTAAAATCTTTTCCATTGCTATTATTGAGAATGATTTAAATTAGGATGGCAACGATCTCCATTTGTCAATGTGTGGGACTGCATCGAAACCAAATTTATTATGTCTTTTTTGGTTGTAGTACGTGCCAATAATATTGTAAATAAGAAAAGCTATGGACAAGCACAGTAAGTAATATGTCAAACCTCGTTCACTTTATTTTGCCAATGCTGCTGCAAATCCTGGGCAAGCTACTGGAGTTTTCATTTTAAAATGTAATTCACACTTAGTTGAGCCCTGAGTGTTTCCCATCTCATTGAGAATGAACTAATATTTAGTTAAACTATAATTCTTACATTTTCGTCTTGTTATTCTCCACATTCAAGTCTGAAAAGCACTTTCCTGGGTAACCCGTTTAGAGATGGTGTGTCTGATCCTTCACATAGTGCTCCTCCCATATAAGCAACTAGTAGGCCTTTATTAGCATCTCTGTCATCTATGAGATGATTCATCTTTTAAGTAGATTGACCTAGTACCTCGCAGGTATCAGTCTCAGTGTCATAAATATCCAGGAATTCAATCGCAGAGGCCTCAACTCCGTTGCATTTCTTGGGCACAGTCTCGCAGAAATTAAAAGTGTACTCAATGTTAAACATTCCAGATGTCTGAGCATCATATACTTTCCAAGGATCACTAATAGCATTTATGAATCATAAGAATCAATTACTTCTTTGGCCTTTTGAGGTGGGTGAGGTCGTAGTTATTTCCAAATACTGGGTCCTTCCATTAGCAAGAATCTGGAGTTTAGGCTGAAACCAGAGTAGATGCTATAATAAGCATACTGAATGATTTTAGCGTATAACTTTACTGTTTCATTTCTAAATTTTATCTATATTTTACTTTTATTCCTTTTAATTGCTGGGATCGGGGTTTTGGGGTTTTGGGGTTTTGGGGTTTTGGGG